AGAGGGTTGGCAAGAATGAGGCCTAATAAAATATCCAAATTCAAGTCAAACAAGGTGCTGATAAGAGACTTACTTTACTGGAATATGGTAACGACTCATCCCCGCCATGTATATCCTGCCAGCTGTTCAAAACTACCTCAGCAGAACTGTTGTATACTAGCCTTTTGACTTTACACTCTTGACAAGCAGTAATGATATTCTTGGCACCTGAATGACATAACATTTCATTCACAATTAGGACACCAAAGATTAATATAGCAAAAGTGTGTAATGCACTTAAATGGCCTCTTGGTGAAAAATTACCTTGAACAACAATTGTGTAGCAAATATAGAAATCGTGAGCATATGAATCCCTAGAATCCATGTAAAATACAACTGATGCGCCATCAATAGCTGCATAGGAGAACATGATGAGGTAAAATTAAGCCCAACTTTATTATAGTGGAAAAACACAATTCTCCAGGAAGATACAGATAAAGGAAGAGACTCTAGAACCTCTTTAAACTACAATAAACAAAGTCAGATATATAGATAAAGACATGTCAAAGAATCAATCAAACGTCATAAGCAGATTGACTAAAGCAAAGTACTGCTGCATGTCTTTAGGGTGAAAGCACTGAAAGGTCAAGGAATAGCATGAGGCCTAGAAGGGGCCGGTTGCTTTTTTCCCTTGTTCAGTTGTTTGGTTGAGAAAAGAAAGTTAAGAAATATATGTCTTTTTAGTTCCCTTCCTGTGGAATCTCCTTAAAGGAGAATAAACACTTCCTCTAGGGAAGCAAGTCAAGGGACAAATAAGTCAATGACGAATGAGAACGAGCCCACTAACTGGAGGACACAATCACTATCTTCATGAAAGGGAAAAAATTCCATGGTACTGTTTTCAGATCAGCAAACAATAAACGCTGTAAAAGCACTGGGGCTGCAAGAAAAGTAGAAGACATTTCGTATTCGTAGGAAACATATAAGATACATGCATCTTGAGAATTGACGTCAGGAATCGAATTTGAGATAAACCCCTTTCTCGATAATCTTAGAGAGAGCGCATACACAGACCATACGCATTCTCCAGATGTATGTATAACAAAAAAATAAAAAACATAGATAGGGAGTGGGAGTTGGTACCTGGAATAATATGAGATTTATGAAGAACATCGACATGGAAATAGGAAGCGCGGCCAGAAGAGAGGGCATGAGAAAGAAGGGACTCGGAGGGTTCAAGTTGAAGACTGGGCAAAGAATCGGCGATTCGGACGATCCAATTGCCGACTCGAAGAAGCCTATCCACAAGGCATTTCCCGACGAATCCTCGTCCCCCTAATACCACGCACGTCTCCAACTCCTTACCACCTTCCGCCACAATCGCCATCCCTTTCCCCCCTTTGCACCAAACCAAAAGGGATCCAGAAAGAAAAAAAAGGAGGGGTTTATCGAAACGGTTTATTAGAGAGAGAAAATTACAAGTTTAAGGTGGGGCCTTCTTGAGGGATTCACCTAGTGGGTGGGGCTTCTCCTATATCGTTGCATCATTCGGGATTGGACTCGACTAGCGAGTCATTTTGCACGAATAGGCTAATTTAAGGTTTGTGTATATATTTTGAGTACCATTTAAAAAGAGAAAAAAGATTTAAGGCCTCGTTTATTTTTATTAAGATTAAAATATTTGAATCTGAATACACATTTAAATATATATATATATATATATTAAGAATGAAGATTAAAATAGTATCTCGTAAAACGGTACAGTTAAATTTGTTACATGGTTTATAAACAAACGAATTGATTTGATCCAAAAATGATAAGGAAATAAGATTAATATTAAAATTAGCAATTAAATTTGAAGAAGATGACGAGCATGGCTCCGAACGCAGCATCTCCGAGAGCACAAATAGAAATAACGACAAAGTGAAAGAAAGTTATTAATTTCAGAGCCAAAGAGTAAAATATAGCCTTTTTGTATAGAATGTTTCATGTCCTTACAATGGATGTTGAGCCTGCTATTTATAGCTTTACCTAGGGAAACAAGATCTTAGGATCAAGCTCCTCTTTAATGATAATAAAATAGTCATTGATGAACGCGTAACAGCGGACCATGAATGCGAATAATTTCTGCAATGGTCGCTCATTTAATGTTAGTAATTATTCCCTCATTGAATGCAATCTGATTACAAACCTTTGATCTTCCCCCATCGACTATGCTCCCTTTGAGATTTATCCGATATTGATTTTCGTTGTCTCCGGTATTGGTTATTCCCTGACTCTCCCTTTGCCTATCTTCGGTTCCACGTGTCATGTTATCATTCGACCATTCGTTATAAAGTAATTTTACCCTATACAGATAGTCCCTACACTTTTCGGTAGCATACCTTAGTATTACCGAAAAGTTGGTGAAGATTCCTTTCTTGGGGGAAAAGTTCTTGAATAGTCTCTGATGTTTGAAAGGACGCACGTCTTCTCGCATTTAATACCCCGAACACGTGTTGCCCTATGATTCAGCAAATATTTCGTCGATTTTCGAGGTAATCATGACCATAATTTTTGTCGTCTATAACTTCTCTGATGTTCATCATTTTTACTTCTTCACTTTCACAACTTTCATAAGTCTTTCTTCTTCTCTATTTGCTTAGAAATCTCTCATAACATTCAATTTTCTCAATAAGAATCTTACTAACCTTTTAATACCATGACTTCTTATGCTGCTTTCTCCGACAACACTAGTCTTCTCTTCGGGGGAAGCCCGTAGAAAAACAAGGACAAGGAGGTCGAAGTCGATTCTGAACCTCCCATTGTTAGTACTATCATACCTTATCATCTCAGCACCGCGAACGACTTTCAGGAGAAGGCTCCTTCTGCATCTTCACGAACTTGGCCAGTTAGTAGGTACCCCTACTTCATTCGCCCTTCCAATATCCCAATAATTTTGGAGCTTTGCCACTGATATCAGGTCTGCTTAGCACAAGTAGGCCCATCTACATGGCGGATGGTGGCCTGCCTTCACCAACTGTGCACGGAGACCAGGGAAACCCTAACCCTTGCACACATAATGAATCTTTACTCTCCCAAAAATTTTCGTGGGGGAGTAATAAGCTCTAGCAAGCATAGCCACCACGCTCTCCTCACCAGCGTAGACAATAACAATGATCGCGGATGGATGGAACGATTCGTCGTCATTGCTACCAAAGACATCATCCCGACCACAACTCCAACTTTTCCTGAGTCGTGGAATCGCTTTTGTAAGTTTTCGGTCATTCACTTCCTTCCTTCCTGAAAAAATTATTTTTCGTTGTTGCTGATTTTCTTGTTTCTTTTGTTTCAACTACCTGATGGAAACCACCACGGATTCAAGACCTGGACCAGTGGGTTCAGAAAATTCTTGAAATCACGAATCCAAAATCTTGCCGGTGGAAGAAAATATCCCCCAAATACGGGTGGAAGGCTAAGCACCATGGTCAAAACACCATTTCTTTTACCCTTGTTCGAATATAAAAATCTTTAATAACAAACTGCTAACTCTATTTTTTGGCCCAATACAGGACTTCCAAGGGGCTCTGTCATCTACCCCGAGGTCAGTGTCTTAGTTGATCCCGAGGAGGATAGGAGGGTGTTAAATGACCTTGCTCAGAGTAGAGCTCGTAGATCTACACGAGCCTCCGATGAGGCTGCCTCCTCTTTAAATCCCCAGCCTGAGATCAAAAAACCGAAGAGAAGACGCCCCTCCTCGGGTGGGGATCAAAAGAAGAAAGCAAGGAAAATGCCATTCGAGCCGACCAAAGTGGCCCTCGTCGATGAAGGGGAAGCCACTGACGAAGAGGCTTCTCTTCTAAGGAGAAAATGATCTTCTTCGGCTCAGATGGGGGGAGCTTCAAAACTCGACCATAGAAGAAACCCAAGTACTTTGGGGTGAGATGCACATAATAGAGAATGTTGATTCTCTCTTCCCAGTCCTCATTGCTGTTTCTGGTCCAAGGAGTTCGGACCCTGGGCTTCTTCTGCCTCCGACCACTGAGCAAATAACCATAAACACTTCTTCTGCCACCGTTGCTTCTTCACCTTCCACACCGATGAGCTCATGCCCATCGACACCAGCTGCTCCTTCGCCACCAGCAATAACTACATCTCTCTACCGGTACATTCTAAACAAGAAAGGGACACCTTTCTTCCTCGGTCTCTTGACCACGGGAACTTGGGGCATGTTTATTCACCCCCTTCCCCAGATCCTTGAGGGAGGAGAATTGGCACTCTTTCCATTTCGAAAGAGTGCCATCTTTTATCCAAGCCTGTAGAGCTTATGAACTATCTTTGAAGAAAGAATGGAAGAAAATGTGCTCCCTTCCCGGGGAGTGTCTAATGAGCAATGCCATGCATAGCGCGACGCAGGTATTGTACTAGTTTCTTCTTTTCTACTTACATGTTGCAATACAAATCCTAACTTTAATATTCTTTTTATAGGCCAAATTTCTTGCTTCTGAAGGCCTGCAAAGGCTGATCCTTAATAGGAAAGGACTTGCTTCCGAGCTGGATCAACTTTTGGCCGAACAGAACCAGCCTTCCCGATGCTGGAGGCAAAAGCTGCAGAAATGAGTGAGCTCGAGGCTCGGTTGCAGCAGAGCACGCAAGATAAAATGGCCATAGCTATGAAGCTGCTCAATTACACGAAAAATTAGAGCTAAGACCAAGTGGGTCGAGCCTCATGACGATGTACTTGCCGCTGCCGAGCGTGAGACTGCCTTTGAGAAGCAAATCAATAACTTGAAGGAAAACTTACACTCAAAATCAAAGAGGCCAATGTTACCGAGGAGAAGAGGGCCCGAGTGGAAGAAAGGCTCAAGAGGGCCATGGATCAGAACCGGATTCACTCAACTATAAATGTTGAGCTCGACTCTCGCCTTAGTGCCATGAGATCCGAAAGGAACAGCCTTCAGGCTGAAATTGATAAACTCCTAGCAAAACTCCAAGACCAATAGCATTCCCTTGTCTTTGAGAAGACATATGCTATATATCATATGAGGAGGAAAACCTTGGAAGAGGCCAAAGTGGGCATCGTCGATATTGATGATTGTATCGTCAAGGCCCAAGAACCAGAGTTAACTGCTCGCGAAAATCTTCCCATCTGGCCCGCTACAACTGACTCCCCGAGTACTGGTTCCGAGTACTCGAGAATCGAAGGATAGACTGAAGAAGCTGAAGGCCCCGAACCGATAGTGGATCCACTTTCCTCTACCCGGGGAAACATAGATCCCTTTCCCTTTTCAGATTCTGGTAGCAATGATGCATATCTTCTTTTTCTTTTCTTTTCTCTTTTTTGTACTTTGTAATTGTGCTAAATCTTTCACCGAGTTTGGCAAAGGTGAGGAAGATAAGGGTATAGCAGCTGCTTTGGTTCACTTGACATACGTACATATGTAGCCCGCTTGCCTCTATCTATTTGAGTATTTCAAACTATAATAGCCTCGGTTTTTTGGTGCTTCTCTACTACCGTAACATAAGAAGTTGGGTCGCTGTGTTATAACTGTTTATTGAATCCTTTTTAATGTGAGGTATTAACATTATTCAATATTTATTTTATTGAAGGGAGTTCAATAGATGAAATACGACTTTATTCACACATTATGACTGTAGGTTTATAATGGCAAGGTGCTACATGGTTGATGAGCTTCAAATTGATCGTTGAAAAAAGAATCGTTGCATTGTCCTATGTTGCTCTGAAGGCTACTTCTCATTGTCTTGATTCCATAGCACCCGGTGAGAGCTTTGTAGGTGTTTAGAGATGGCATCAAACTATGGCTTTGGGATAGCTCTTCATGGATACTTTTGCACTATAGTTGATTGACTTGAAGGCATTTTCTTTTTGTATGTACTTCATTAACAGTACTAGAGTCAACTTAGGACACATTATCACAAAGTTGGCATTAACGGTTAATTTCTGCAAGGTTTACTTTCAGCATTGTAAGACATTTATTTGGGTTGTTTTATATATTTAGCCACTAAGCAATATGTTTAGTGGCATTTTTTCTTAAAGATTATTGATGTTTGGCCACTGGTAGGGGTGTCAAATGGGTCAGGGCAGGTTAGGGCGGGGCGGGGCAAGCCTTGACCTGCTAATATTTTGACCCGCCCTGCCCTGCCCTATTTAGCATTTTTTCAAATTTTGCCCTGCCCCGCCCCGCCCCGCCCCGCCTCGCCCTGCCCCGCCCCGCCCCGTTTAGGCTTTTTTGTATTTTTTTTCTTTCTAATTTGTAATATTATGTTTATGCATTAATGCTTTTTTCCCTATTATGGATAAGTGTCCTTATTAGTTCGTTTTTAAAAATATCAAATATTAAAATAAATTCAAAATAATTTGAAGCGGACTAATAAAATGTTCAAAAGTTATTATGTATTAAAAATTATAATATTCAGAAATGCAAATTGGCTTACACTTTCAAAATGCAAAAAATACTACTATAATTGATGTATTGTGTCAAGTAATTTGTGTTCATTTCACATTTAAGAGTTTTGGAAAGATACATGTTTCAAAAAAGTTATTTTTCTCTCTTTCTAATGGAAGATGCAAATAATAATGTTCCATAAAATGTTTATTCTCTTTCTTAAGTTTCAGAAAATTCATTTAATCCTTCTACTTGTAATTTCCACAATTAATCTATTTTAATTATGGATAATTTTATGTTTTTTAAAATTGTGGGACCAGACATCATATAACTCAACAGCTTGTTCAATCATAATGGTATTACCATAAGTATACTTAAGCACATTAAAGGTTATCATAAGTATACTGCACAGGGTACTGGTATTACCATTAAAGTAATAGATGAAACTGCTATCCTTGCTTTCCCTATTGTCCAGTACCTTGCCCTGCCCCGTCCTATTAAAAATTTTCAAAAATAATAATTTGCCCTGCCCTGCCCCGCCCAGCCCCATTAAATTCTTTCCCTGCCCCGCCCCATTTAAGGTTATCCCTGCCCCGCCCTGCCCCAATTGCCATCCCTAATATTTGAGTTGCAGTTGAAAAAAATTCTAAAACTGCAGTTGTGTTTGGACATAAATATCAGTTGGAAAATAAAAAGGGTTGTAAGTTGAAGATTTGAGGGTGCAAAATATGATTTTTACCAGAACTACTGTTTTAATATTATTTGTGAAGGTCGGCGTGAATATAGCCTCTTACAGAAATATAAGGGAAAGTTGCATACAATAGCACCATTCTAGTCCGGCTTTTTCCCAACCTCGAGCATAAGAGAGCATGGTGCACGGTTAAGTTAAATTTGAGTTGCACCTGAAAAAAATTCTATTTCAACTATAGTTGTATTGGACATAAATTTCAGTGAAAAAAAAAGGTTCGTAAGTTGAAGATTTGAGGGTGGAAATACAATTTTTACCGGAACTACTGTTTTAGTATTATACGTGAAGAAGGTTATAGGTTCGAGCCGTGAAAACAGTCTCTTGTAGAAATGCAGAGTAAAGCTGCATACAATAGACCTTTGTGGTTCGATTTTTTTCTGGATCTTGTGCATAATGGAAGCTTAGTGCATTGGGCTGCTCTTTTTTAAGTTCAATTGCTAAAGTTTAGTGTTTGTAAATATAAATGGTCAAATTA